TAAAATTGTATATGAATACAATAAAACACATAATCAGCAGCTTCTATATGTTGCATTATCACGAGTTACCAGCATTAATGGATTGTTCATCATTTCTAAAACAACGACAAAAAATTTATTATGAAAGAAAACGGCCAGCAGGATTAATGGACTTAAAAACTGAATTCCAAAGACTTTCAACTTGTAGATTAATAATACAAGAAGAAAAATTGAGTGAGATAATAAGTTTGAACGGCATTTCATTGCTTTCCTTTAACTGCCAAAGTTTACGAGCTCATTTGCCTGATCTGCAAGATAAAGTGCTACAACGTTGTACGTTTTTTGTTTTTTCGGAAAACTTGGATTAATAATGAACGAATTAATATTCAGAACTATTACTGCGTTACTCAATACAAACGATCAAACAAGAGCAGATGGTGTAGCTGTCTAATGTCTATCATTCATGTTCAGATACTCTTCATAATGCGACTCCTTTGCAGTTTCTTGCGCCAACGATATTACTAGATATTCCTAATGAAATTACACAAGTAGGTAATATTGCAGTTGACCGCTGTGTGAACACACAGAATCAAACATTGATTATAGTCGTCCTTTAAATTTCTCCCAATAAAAACATATCAAATATTATTGAATTGAACATCAGCAGTTACTTCATTTTTCTAATGAGGGTGCAAAACTTTTAAACACTAATCACAACGAGATACCATTAATTCTTGCTGGAGATTTAATGTCAATTTTCGTTCAGAGAATCTCAACCATTAATTGATTTTTTAAATAATAAATTTAATTTAACGATGAATAATTCTCCATTTGATTCAACCACAAGATATGGCTCGACTATTGATGCTGTTTTCTCCAGAAATGTACATAGTTTACAAAGCAAAATTTATGTCTCTCATTTTAGTTATCACAAACCTATTATATCATATATGAAATATGATAGCAATTAATCTATCGTTGTTGTTTTAAACTGTGTTATTGATGTTATGTGATTATTAATAAATGATTTTTAAAATTCAAATTGATGTTTTTTTATTTTTATCTAATTGCCTACTCATACAATATTAAAAGTTTTACTTCAATCGCGTGTGATCCTTACGCGCACTCTTTTTTTTTTAT